TGAATCTTTAAAATCAGATCAGCGGTTCTTGAGTTATAAGCGTAGTAACTAACACAACTTTCTTTTATATATATAGATATAAGATAAAGGATGGGTCGCGTGCCCAGACACTTTTTCGTGACTTCCATTGGATAAAACACCGATAGTTTACCATTATTTACGTATTTAACCAAGCCAGACATCACATTTTTAAAACAAAACCAGTAAAGAAAGTCCTAAAGTCGGGCGGCGCCGACTTTATGATACCCTACACCACTTTGCTAATTTAGTAGAGCTCCACAAAACAATTAAAAGTTTTTATGGGAGAATTCAATCAAACACGCTATGATTATAATTATAATTTAAATTTCAAAAGACTTAGTATGCCGAAGCATTTGTATCTTTTAAATTCGGACTTGTATTGTATTTGGTGCAAAATTAATTTGAAATCAGATAAAGATATATATGGGAGCTATATCCAAATCTGAACCGATCTCGATAAAATTTGGCAAAAGATATTTCTGAGCTGTATTTGATATATTTCCCTGAATATCGGTGTTATGGAGTGCATATTACGGCTGTGGGTAACAAATATGACAAATCGGATGAACAGTATATATGGGAGCTATAGCTATATCTGAACCGATCTTCACCAAATTTGACATACTAGCTTCTAGACTCAATTCGGTCGTAAGTGCCAAATTTCATCCAATTTGGTATTAGAAGTTTGGTGTACAATAAAAGGTAAATCGGACGAAGTTATATATGGGAGCTATATCCAAATCTGAACCGATCTCGATAAAATTTAGCAAATGTATTTCTGAGATGTATTTGATATATTTTCCCAAATATTGTTGTTACAGAGTGCATATTACGACTGCGGAGGACAAAAATAACAAATCGGAGGAACAATATATATGGGAGCTATATCCAAATCTGAACCGATCTCGATCAAATTTGGCATACTTATTTTCAGGTCCAATCTGATAGAACTTAGAAAAAAAATTTAATCAGCTGGTAGCACTACCTTACCTTTTTATTGTACCGTGGGTTCAACTACCAGTTTTTTAAACATTGTCCATGTTGGTCCAAGATTTCCATATAACGGTACCCGCCGATATTTAAAATACTTATGATCCTGGCCACAAATTTCACGATGTTTCGAATTTGGTACTTAAGACTCGCAATGGATAACAATAGTAAAAAATTGTTCCCGCTTTGGTATGACCCAACATAACGGTTCCACCCACTTTATTGTATTTTAAAACTTTAACTGCTTTGCTAAACCGATCTCACAAGTATTTGCATATTAATCGGATCGGATTTAGATATAGCTCCCATATATTTTCAACTGATTTCGGGTTAATTGTGCACCAAATGGCCAATATAAGTCCTAATGACCTGGATTTTGGTACATCCCATCGAATTAATTATAGAACCAAAGACGTCAAATTTGGTTCAGATTTAGCTATAGCTATATGTTCCATCCGATTTGGGGTTTTAAGTCCCTCACATGCGTAAGTCCCTTACAAGAACGATATTTGGTAGCGAACATCAGATACTACACGAAAATACCTCTGTCAAATTTTATCAAGATTGGATCAGATTTGGGTTTATTGTGCGAAAAATGGCTAATATCAGCCCCATTTTGTGGAACTCGCCTTCTCGAAGTGATATCACGCACTCTATAGCAGCGTTCGAAAATAAACAGTATGGTACTGTGCCGTAGTGTTCTGTACCGTTCCGAGGTGGAGTGGTACACTGAGATAATGTACCGTACCGGAGCACAACCTTTAAAAATATTTTAGTGATAATGTACCGGAGAACAACGAGAATCGTACTGTACAGCAGTCGGAGCACTAAAAAACGTAGTGCAGCCGGAGCACTATAAAATCGTAGTGTTCCGCAGTCGGAAAATTAAAATTTTTAATTTTCCGCGAAAAAGGGTATTTTTGTGTTTTCGTTGTAATGAGTTATTATGTAAATAATTTACCTGTTATTTTGTGGTACCAGAATAGTGAAATATCAAAACGAGTATAAATGTCTTTGACTTCTAAGTTCGAAGTGCACAGTGATGCAAATCCGAAAGTTGAGTGTGAGTATCAACCCGAATGTAGGGAAAATTCGCAATATTTAAATTGCGAATAGAGTTAATTGCTAGCTCCCTGATTTGGTCTTTAAGCCCCTCTCATTCATAATAAGCACTCCACAACTACGATATTTGGTACCAGATATCAAATACAGCCCAGAAATACTTCTACAAATGTTACAAAGATCGGTTCAGATTTGGTTATAGCTCCCATATATCTTTAGTTAGTCTAGTTTTTATACAGATTTCATTTCGACAGTTTTTATCGATCCGAATCGAATTTGCTAACAACTGAACTCAATGAAAATATATAATTATCTGTCCAAGAAGATTGGTAATTATCAAGAAGTATAAGTAAAAATTATAAAATTATAATATCTTGTTAAATAATAAATACCAAAAAAACCCATTCTTTTTTTTATAAAATTCTTGCAGATGTATTTGTTTTAATAGTAACTATTATAATATAATATAAAAAAACGATTACTTTTCATTAATACATTTATTGATGACAGTAAATATATTGTTAAAATAAAAGTAAAAAATATAACAATAAAATTATAATAATAAAAATACATATTTGTATAAAAAAGAAAATATTATTATAGATAAGTTTTGTTTTGTTTTAAATATATATTAGCAAGCTGCCTGCCTTACTTTCTTCTTTTATTTATTTTTTCTTTGTTTTGTGTTAAAGTTAAATAAATTTGTGCTTAATATTTGTTTCCTTTTTTTGTTTGTTCAATATATACGCTCAGCTGTATATTTCAATTCTTAGTTATTTGTATAATGCAAATAAATAGATTTCCAGGGATTTAGTTTGGAATTGAGGAGGGCAGCAAATGATAGACAATAATAAAAAGAAAATATTTAATGATATGCGCGCATATATTTGTATGAAAAATTAGTAATTATATAATGGATTTTTTTGTTCCTTTTAATGTAATGAGGATTTTTTATTTCTCGCGTTTTTTACATTACATAGCATTTGATTTATATTTCTTTTGTTTGCTTTTTGCGTTTTATTCTTCTCTCATTCGTTTTGTTATTGTAAAAATAAAACAAATATTCAATTGACTAGATAAGCATTTTATATAGTAAACAAAAAATATTCTTATTATTATTTTCATTAAATTATTACAAATTTTCTTTTAAAAGTAAGCTTTATTTTAATCATAGAGTTGTTTAACTATTTAAGAGAGGGGTATGTGGTGGTAATATTTTTCCATTTCTTTTTACGAAGAAAATATGTTCTCACTCATTAGAAAAATTAATTGTATTCCTAAAAAAAAAAACGAATAAGGTGAAAAAAACTATTTCCATTGGATTTCAATTAAAAAATAAGGAAATAATAAAAGGCGTCTCCGATCTGAACTTTGTATACATCCGTCATTGAAAAAATAAAAGGTTTAAAAATATACCAATCCCCTTATAATCTTCATTTCACGATGGAATCATCTCTTGTTCTACGGTTATGTTAAAGGGCTATTAATACTAAATGGCGCCGCACGAAAGATATCTGGCGAATATTTCGTAGTGCTCGAAAAATGATTTCGTGTATTTTGGACGATATTTTGAGGATACCATTAGCACTATTTCAAGCCTGTTTTAAAAAATTATTTGGCACCTGTTTACTTAGATCATTTGGCCTAATTTATAACTTCATATTTGTTTTCCAGTTGGAATCAGACCGAATGCCTGTTAGAAACATTGATTTAATTGAAAATAAAATAATACCACACCTTAATTGTATAAGGGTTTACTAATGGAGACGATAACAAGACTATATGCCATCCTTAGAGACCACAAGAAACCTCTGCTGGTTTCGGTCAATGTCTAATTAAATGTGGCTATCCCAAGCTTTTTAAATAGGGTATTTCCATATAAATGGACAATCCAAAACAATCTGAAATCTGTTACATAAGCCAATTTGTTAACAGCAAAATTAAATATCAATATTAAGGGATTACATTAAGGAAAGGAGACAATGAGTTCTATAGTGCTTGTATCCTCCAAAAATTTACACACTTATTTGCTCAATGCTTAAATCTCCGTCATCAGGGATCTTGGTTTTAGAACATGTTATAAAGTTATATCGCAAATACTCCACTCGGAGACTTCCCGATCCACGTGGATCTAAATCCCTTTACACTTTCGACTTTCGGCACGAATTTCTGTGTGTAAAATGTCAAAACAAAATGTTACAAAAGTAACGAATTGGAAGTGGGTCCAACCTTAACCATCCAACCCTGATATCAAAGTTTTTAGCCACTTAAAACCCAACGCCAAACCTTCTATTAGATAGCAAAAGGACCTGAAAAACAATACCATTTCATCGGGGTGAACCCATGTGTTTTTGTGGATAAAATAAAATCACAGAAGTATTCTGAGGTCTTTTCACCACTAGAAGTGTTGAGAAGCTGGTTTACGTGTATGATAATGGCAATTTTTGTTTATACAATTCTGTGCAAGAAATATTTTGATCTTTCCCGTTTAATGATCTATATATTGCACGAAATCCACCCATAAGGCTTCTTTGTTTAAAATTCTTCGGAACCGTTAATTGCTAAGAAAAAAATGTTCAGCAATTACAAAAAACCACATTTTTATTGGGTATGAAACTAGCTTCGGAGGATGACTAAAGACTCAAATACACATATATTTTCCAATAAAAAAAATGTATACTATTAGCTCTGCACAAATTGGTGTTGGGTATAATAAATGAAATGATTTTGGAACTTTTTTTTTATAAATAATAATATTTAGATATATTTTGGTTCTATATCAACAACTAAATAATTACACAGAACACAGATTAAAAAATAATAATCTCAACTAAATTCGAGAATGTTTAAAATGAATACAAACTAAAAAACAATTTTTTTATAAATTTCTTGTTTTTTGGAAAATAAAATGACTCGAGAAATATCAAATCTAGGCAATGACAATGATTTATGTCTGTTATGAATGGCGCAAAGGACGACTTTCTTTGATGGAAAAAATCAACAAAATTATAATTTAAAAATTAAAAACTTATTAGCAATAATTATATTTCGAGTTAGGTTTTCTGTTCTTGGAAGGAAGAGTGTTTTGAGGAGTTAGTTCTAGTTTTAGCTGCTTAGGGTTTCTTTGTTTTTTTTAGTTGTTATAGTTTAAAAGGTATAAAAACTAGTGGTTTGATTCGATTTGATTTGTTTGTGTTTGTTGTGTTATCTCTTAGAATTACAATAAATGTAGACAATTTTCTTTTAAAAGGACATTTGGACAATTTTTTTGTTTTGTTAATATTAGGTTCTCAAATATTATGCTTTAATTCGATTTGTTTCACTTGTTTCTTGTTCTTAAATAGAAAATAATATTGTTTTTCATCATTTGTTAAATATACATACAAAAAATATAAAAAAGAATTATTTATATAGATAGAGATAGTTGTAGGATAGACTGAGAGACAGAGACGATATACGTATAACCCGGATAAAGTTGATGATAATGGCGCGATCTCGACTATGACGACATAATAAAAAATATATTTTGAGGAATTGGAAACAGAACATTGTAATTTTTTGTTTGTTTTTGGGAACAGGAGTTGCAGGAAATTGTATAAATATAAACCATGACGTGTTCGATATTTACATAACTATACATTTTCGTTGACGTCGTTTTTGTGGCTCAGGTCTTAGTACGGCACGCACAGCCTCTTCGAATACCTGTGTAAACGTTAAGGATTTGAAGGAATTAATTTTAATTTTTCAGTGTCTTAAGGTGAAATTACATTTTGCATACCTGTTTTAGGCCTCTTTGTGTTAGGGCTGAACATTCCATATATTTAACAGCTCTTATTTTATTTGCTAATTTTTGTCCTTGTTCCCGTTTTAGTGGCGCCAAACCTTGTTCTGCCAATGCACTAAGAGTCTCACGATCCTCACGTAAATCAATTTTGGTACCTAGAAGGATGTGAGAAGTATGTTAATTAGTACACTTTCCGTATTTTTTGGTCATGTACGAACTCTGGACATGCCAATAAGTCGAAATATCTTAGGTAAAGATGATAGCTCATGTCTGATTTGAAATATAATTATTTTTATCTTCCTTGGTTTTGTATAAGCTTGAATAATACTGCATTAATAGCTGATGCCTCTAAACGAGTCACTGTTTGGTGCGGATTTCTGTCCCGAAGGCATAAATGGGTCATTATTCTTAGAAAATGAGGAAGTATCCGCTACGTTATCGAGCCATGTTGAACGAATTTTTGTTCACAAACATTGAAGAGGATGATATTGGCAACATCTCGTTTCAACAGGGAAGCGTTGCGTGCCACACAGCAAAAGCTTCACTCGATTTTCGAAAAAAAAATTTGCCGGACTCTACACGTGTAATTTATAAGTTGGGTCTCAGGCCATAGCAATATAACAAAGATTGAGACGGCTAATGAACAAGGTAGGTCTGGTTCCAATTCAATTAATTTATGGATTTATACTCAGCTCGATTGATGATCTTCTGTTTAAAAAACCTCTCAACAAAGAAGCCTGCAGGAGAATTAACATGAAATCCTGGTGCAACGTATCTAAGCCCATGTAGCCGACGATTTTGAGAAGAAGAAGCTGCTCCAAATTAGTATGTCAAATCTAAGAATCACGACAGGCATATTGGCAGGATACTACCCTATCAGATGTCTAAACTTAATATGACTATGACCTGATTACTGCAGACTATGTTAGCATGAAAAAGTAGTTGCAGACCATTGACCATTAACAATATAGATGGGCCATGCTATCAAACAGGAGACAAAGTCTATATGGTAGTTGGGGGAACATTCTTCTCTGACATAGATCTCATCATAATCTATAGGTGTGCTAAAGCATCTTCTGGTTTAGCAGTTCAATCTACCAAAGTATCTATCTACAACCCCAAATATGCCATTTCTCTATCCAAACCATGAATGAGCATAATGGACCAAAGGAATTCGAGTGTAAACCAAACCAATACTGCGCAATCTGAATTTCCTATACAAAGCCCATAACACCGGCGATTTCGAGTAAAAGAAGCTGCTCCCTTCCATCAGTAAGTGGGTCAAATCTAAGAATAACAGCAGGCATGTTGGCTAACCTATTGATGTATCAGATTTCTGACCTCAATATGATAATAACAATAACAGTAGTCCTCACTAATGCAGACTATGTTAGGATGGAAAAAGGGTAAGAGACAAATGAACGTCTCATGTTATCAAACATGAGACAAAGGCTATTAGGTAGATGGAAGATAGAAACCCTAACATTTTTCTTTGACGTATATCTCATTATCGCCTATAGATTTGTTAAAAGAACATACTGGTTTAGTAAACCAACCTACTAAAACATATCTTTACAAGCCCATCTATATCTTTCCTCTATCCTAACCAAGGATGGACATAATGGACCAAGGCTCTTGGATTGTAGCTGAGCATCCTTAAACCAAACCAATACTGTGCGATCTTCAATTTTCCGTGCAAAGCAATTCTATAGACTTTGACAATTTTGAGCTACTACTCATTTTATACATACCTACTAATATTATGGGCGCATCTGGGCAGTGGTGTTTTATTTCGGGATACCATTTGGAGGTGACATTTTCAAATGATGATGGACTCGCAACTGAAAAACATATCAGAAAAACATCCGTTTGTGGATATGAGAGTGGTCGGAGTCTATCATAATCCTCTTGTCCAGCTGTATCCCATAGACCCAATGATACCTGTATTGTGTCTACCTGCATTGGTGCTGAATAGTTGTCGAAACTAGAATAAAGTCGAAAAAAGGAAACATTATTTTTTATTTCTAAATTCTGAAATAAAAAAGAAGAATTGCAAATACAATACAACTTACACTGTAGGCACATATTCACCGGGAAAACTATCTGTGGTATATGATATTAACATGCATGTCTTGCCGACCGTGCCATCGCCAACGACTACACATTTGATGGGCCTTCCTGTTGACATCTGCAAAAAACAAAACGAAAAGACAAAACGAATGTAAGAAGACATGTTACAGTCATAGCGTTTGTGGTATAGCTGTTTATTGTTCACGTTACAGTTTATTGTCTATTGGAGTGTTAGTGTCATTGTTTCACTAGTTTAAAAAAAAAACTTTTTTTTCGCCAGAACATACGTATGTGCGGCGGGCCATACACGTAACGTCGTCCAATGACAAGTTGACCAAAGTTTGCTGTTTCAGTTCTTTTTTCCCATTCTTTCTGGTATTTGTTGCAATTCAATGTATGAATGAAGTGAATTTGTGCTGACCCATACAACTCATGTGATTGTTGTAACGTTTGGCATTGCCGCAGCACCACAATTGCACTACTTGCAATTGAAGTACTGTTCAAAGAATGATTTCCTAATTAAAGTGAATTAATAAATTTTAATTAATTTATGGATTTCTCTCTCTCTCTCTCTCTTTTTTTTTTTTTTTTTGTATTATCGAATTGATTTTGTGAGAACCAAAGAACTTGTATATCTGGTGTTGTTTGAACATAATTTAGTGGATATTTAAGATTAAAAAAACTGTAACAAAGTCAAACGCCATCTTAGACCTTTTTTTACATCTTTTATAATTTTTTTCAATGAAAGCAAAAAATGGCGGAAATAGCATCAAATTTTAGAATAAGTTTAGATTTGTTTGAATCGGTCACCTTTGACACGAATTATGGACTTCAAACGGCCAATGAAACTGTCACACGTTGCTCGAATGTTGCTCTGCGGTATTTTGGTTCCAGCGAAGCGTTTGCTTGAGGTGATCGACACTTTCGTATTTTTTAGTGCCAATCTTTTCCAACCTTTCCAAAATACTCCAGACACAATAGTCCAATGGATTGGTATCCGGAGATTTTGGTGGCCATTGTGCACTGGAAATGAAGCGAGGAACCTCATTTTGTAACCATTCTTGGGTGGCGCGTGCTGAATGCGATGGTTCTGAGTCCTGTTGGAATGTCTAAGGTCTGCGGCCAAAACGTTTTCGCGAAATATTCAGCATTTATTCTGATGCCACGGTCGATTAATACGAGCGGAGAGCGACAATCGGCTGTTATGGCGGCCCACGCCATCACCATGGCCAGCGCTTGAGTTCCTGTGGCTAACCGAAGATGGACATTTTCAGTTGAACTCTTTGGCAAGTAAACACGATCATTTTGTTTCTTACAAACTGCTGGACAACGAATGTTTTCTCATCGGAGAAAACCAAATTCGGCAGTTCACCATTTTCGGCCAAGCGAAGCAACTCTTTAGCTCTTTTTAGCTAGGGAATGCTATAAGAAAACGTGGACCTGTATAGACAATTTTCTGTCGAAGGAGATCGTACCCATTACAAACTCCAAATGTGTAGACTATTATGTGTCAGATAAGGTAGTACCGGATGTTTATTATTTTTATACCCTCCACCATAATATGTAGGGTATATTAAGTTTGTCATTCCACATTTAAGACCCCACAAAGTATATTTATTCTTGATCATCATAAAATTCCATGTATATTTAGCGATGTCCGTCCATCTATTCGTCTGTGGAAATCACTCTTGCTTTCGAACGAATTGAAGAAGATTGATAAAATACTACTCAAATATATGTTATGTCTGCAGGACTTTTGGTATTGAAAATGGGCCATGTAGGTCCACGTCTTCGTATAGCCCTCATATAACGGTACCTCTCGATATTCTGCATTTTGATCATTTTAGCGACATTATTCATTATTCACAGGAATTGTTTCAAATTTACTATTTGATGTTCGTAATGGATGCTACTACAAATAAGACTATAACAGAATTTTTAACGGATTTTGTTTTTGAGAATTGCCAATTTCGTTCCAAATGGTGGCGGCCCGGCCGAACTTACAGCTTTTTTACTTGTTTTTAATATGAACCACTCTGTTGTCTGACGATTGTTTTCACAGTTCTAAGTGACATCTCTATTCAATATTTTTTGGCAAATTCTCATGAATAGTATAACTCCAGGACAACGCTTCCAAATTGTGGAAATATTTTTTTTTTTCTAGAATTTCAAATGCATTTCCGACAAATGTACTGTTTGGTGCGGTCTATGGGCTGGGAAGCATCGATCCTTTTTTCTATAAAAATGAGGAAGTTACCGTTAATGAAAATCGATGCGGAATCATGAACAATGAGTTTTTGTTGTCAAAACTTCAAGATAAGGATGTAAATCAATCGCTTTGCAATTGTCGACTGGCCGACTTTGCAATTCTTTTATTAGGTAGTGGTATAACCAGTTCTTACATTAACTAGGTATGTTACACAATTCGAATTTTCAAATTTGAAACCCTTTACTACTACTGAGAATTATTCAAAAGAAATCCGTCCAAGGCATTTTGATGTTATTACAAAGGTAGATTATATAACATTTAAAAGCTTTAAAAGACGCAATACCTCACATAAATAGCTTAACTACCAAACTTTCTCATAACCGCAACAGCTTTAATGTGAAAACATTTAAAAAATTAAAGCACGTAATTATTTAATGTAATCATATTACTTTTTTCGAAATATCTTTTATGTCGTTGTTATTTCCGGTCATGGTTCATGTTTACATTAAAAAAAAAAAGATTTCTGGCCACAGTGCAATGACCACCAAACTGAAAGGTGATCATATCACGTTAGTTACGGTTTCGCCAATGCTCCAAAAAACATAAACACGACACACACACACTTACTGGTTGGCGGATGGATGGCTGGCTATCAAGGGAGGGGGGTTACACAACCGGTAAGAGAAGAAATAAAACGACATTTCAAAGGAGTGGTGCCACAATAATCATAAACATCACAGAAACCCATTATCGCTGACACAAGACACATATGTGAGAATCAGCCGAATACCAGAAACAAAATTAAATTAAATGAAATTTTGAATAAATAAAAATAATGTCCAAAAGAGATACTGGCAACATCAAACGAAGACAAATACTAATTTAAAAATAGAACACAAATGAAATTTGTCAGCTTTTGAGAAGAATACAAAAACAACAACATGGAATATATTACGACATTTGTTATTTTTGCAAAATGAAAACAATTTTCTGGGGGGGAAACTAGAAACTAGATCACCAAGGACAGCACACAAAACCTCATATTTGTTGAGGTTGGAAAAGATCATGACTTGCATTGGATTTCGAAGAATTGTAAATAAATGGGAATTTCCCAAATACACAAGAATTGGAAAACAAAAACGGAAAATGAAACGAAAAGAAAACAATGTCAGCATCAATGATGAACACACATACATTTACACTCACACATTATACATGCATTGTTATTGGGGACACAAAGAAATTTTAAACGATGGCATCAGCCATTAGATCATGGCGATGGAAATTTATTTCATATATCTCCTAAATCATTTGCTAAGACTGCTATATCAACAAATTGGGGGGAAGATACATAATGATGTGTGCCGGCCGGCCGGCAAAGAAGCAATAGTACTTGACATCCACTCAAGACGTTGCTGCTGTGAGCATTACACATTGCATATTATACAAATTTTGGCCGACCGAAATTAATAACTTCCCTATTAAGTTGGGCTTGTTATCATTGGGTGAAATGTATTAAAAAACAAAATGACTAATGTGGGGAAGCAATGTAAAATTTAAGACTGTTTTTCACACAGTCATATTTTGCAAATTTATTGTAAATGGAATGTGCCCGTAACATGCTTACAGACGCTTTGAGCAATAGAAGAAAAAACATTATTGCATTCAAAAACTTTCGAGGAGTACTTAAAAAATATATGAGCTTAATTTTTGCCTGCCTCAGATAAAAGCTTCGGGGTAAATACTTTGGTTATTTGATTTACGGAAAACGAATTGAGCATTAGACTTCGTTCTAACTTCACACGTGGTCATATTTTTAAAAGGGGTAGTAGTTCAGGTTGAAATATGGACAATTTAGGCGCTCTACATCGGGTACCTCCCCACAAGTTGCGGAAATTGTGGTATAAACATAACTCTTATAAAATATGAAAAAAAAATCACTGATATTTATCAAATTTTGCGTAGTCCAATATTTTCTGTCAATACTGGTATAGGCCAAAGATGGAAACAATTGATCCCCTACTTCCATAAAAATTAAAAGTATTCGAAAAAATAAAAATCTTAACCAATACAGAAATGCAACTAGAACATTCTAATTTGTTTTCATCGTGAACATTCTAATTTGATTTTATCGTCAATTCGTCTGGAACCTCACCGCGACATGAATGCTACGACGTACGAGAAGATTTCAAAACAGTTTATCAGGTGTGGTGTTGCAAATGTCACCTAATCCAAAACTTTGGGGCAGAATAAAAACTCGATGGTAATGTTGCAATAGCTAGATAAGCAGGAAGTCGAGTGTCTCGTAAAATTCATCCATCGTCCACCCAAGCAATAGTGTCTAAAAACCTTGTAGCAATATTACTCCTCCCATAACTTCCGAGCAGCTGAACATCAACTTGGGTTCTGGAACGGATGAGGTTTCAAATATTGGATAGCCAATAGTAAGTGTTTCAGACCATTATAACGGCGTAGATAATGCAGATGATTTTGTGATGATGCTATGGAATCCTATCGTAGGAATATATGTGTAGTGTTGAATTCCTAACACATCTAGCTAAATATAAATATAATGACTATTAAAATGATATTGAAAACTAAGAACATTAACCTCACATAATCTAGGAAAAAACCTAGAGTATACCCACAATAAATTTGACAGGAGAATCAAAACATCAGGACTACAAAACATCATAGACTACAGATTCTTGTTAAAGAATCCTACTATAGATTTGGTATAGAAGTCATGAATTAAAAATAATCCCAAAAATTTAAAACATCCGAGAGAGGTGTGCGAAATATTGATAACTGTATACTACACCCTTTTTTCTGCATTGACCATTCAACTAAACAGAATTTTACTGCTCTAGGATCTTTGGATGACTTTCTTCGACCTCTGTTTTCCAAAAGGGCGCCTTCATCCGAAATTTTCCCAATACATTAAATCTATTCTAACACACATTTGCCATAATTGGGACACTGTGCAGTTGAAAACCCAACCAAGTTAAATATTTTTCTAGTTTTCCCCTTTCCCAAACAATCCAATTAATATTAAGAGAAATCATTCAGTATGTTTGACTTTTTTGAAGGAGGGTGGAAAGCAGCTTAACCCCTCGAACACTTTATGTCATAGACATATTGCAAAGCATCAAGTGGCATCGGTTGCCATTAGATTCATTAGACATACACACACACACACACACACAAATTGCCGGCAATTTCAAATCAACTATTGCTGGAAATAAATAAAGATGAAAAAGGCTACAACATCTAAGGCAGCGAATTTTAAAAGAATTGCCATGCGATAAGATGAGTGGATTTTTCTGTTTCTGCTTCTTCATATTAAATTTACAGCTATAGCCAAATAAAGTAAATTTTCAAATATTCGTGATGGCAAATTAATAAAGTAAAGAAGAAGAAAGAGCAGAGGGAGGTAGAAGAAGGCAAAAAACTACAGTATATCAATGCAGCCGAAATGGAAATTTTTTTGAGAGGAACATCACATGCCATATTGGGCCATTGGAAACCAACCACAGATATGCCTGCTGCCATGGCTCGTTGATAATGTTGAGTGCATTTTGGAAAAAATATTACACACGTATTCATTTTATTGGAAATGGCATCTGCATAAAAAATACATAATATATTATTAGCCACAGACGCAGCAGACACAGACGCAGCCATCGATTATATATACAATGATTCACATGATTTACAATCCAATCATGATGTTGATGGGCTGGCTGACCGGCATTGCATGTCCTCCCCTTCTTGTTTTTTTGATTTTTTCTTGATTTCATTTAGCCGTAGTGGAGTGATGAATTCAGCAATCAGATAATTAAGGAGAAACTACAAAATTATGAAATAAATGTAGACATACATAAATAAATAAATCTTATTAAGAATATTTTTAAAAGACTTTCAATAAAAAATGCCTCCATCATCCTATAGCACTATATCAAATATTTTAATTGGGTATTTCCCA